GGGGGGGGGGGGGGCGCATGCGGCTGCTTCTGGGAGCTGCTTGAGTAGATAAGTGCAGGCTGGACCCTGCATCCCTGTGTCCCATCCCTCAAATCCCCTGCCACAGCCCAATCCCCCTCCCATCCTCCAGACCCCTTGGTCCAGCCCAGAGCCCTCTCCTGCACTGCAGACACCTCATCCCCAGCCCCACCTCAGAACCTGACTCCACCTAGAGCCTTCACTCTCCAACCCAGACTCCCTCATATAACAACATAATCCTTCAGGTTCGGGGTGTGACAACATTTGGATGGGACTTCAAGCACCAGTCAACGTGAGCTTATCAGCACACACAGACAGCTTTGAAGGATTTCCTTTTCCCTCACCCACCCAAAATATGCTCCCACTGCACTATCCCCTGCCTTGCCCTTGTGTCTCTCTGCCTCTCCCTGTCCTGCATCCACTGGCAGCTCTAGGTTTGGCAGAGGCCTTGGAAAGAGGTTATCACTCTCTATAGTTGTTCTGAGTAGCAGCTGCCACCCCAGGGGTATGTCTACACTGGTGGGTTCCTGCGCAAGAACTCTTGCACAAGACACGTCCACACAGCCATGTGCTTTTGCGCAAGAGCATCCATGGCAGTGTGGACACTCTCTTGTGCAAGAAAGCTCTGATGACCATTTTAGCCATAGGGCTTTCTTGCGCAAGAAACCCTTGCTGCACGTCCACATTGCCTTCTTGCACAAGAGCTCCTGCACAAGAGGACTTACACCTGTTAGAAAAGAGCGTAGCTCTTGCTCAAGAAGCCCTGTCTTCTGACGCCGTACTGGACATCTTCTTGCGCAAGAGCAGGTGGGCAGTGTGGCTGTTCTTGCGCAAAAACCTGCCAGTATAGACGTAGCCCAGATGTGCTGAACTGGGGCTCCCCATGAGAGCTGAGTGAAGGGACAGGCACAGGCAATGGGCTGGCAAGTTTTGAAGGAAGCTTCTTTCCTGTGCTTTGCTGCACCGGTGCCATCAATCCAGCAGTGGGAACTCCCTGTTGGTGTGGAGGAGGAGTTGCTGTTCACTCTTCTTCTGGCTCTCCCAGGGCCCATCAACTTCTGAGCCCCTCCAGCTCGGCACATGCAATAAAGATAGGAGTTATGCCAGGGTTTGCAATGAGCTCCACCAGTTTTACAGCCATTAATTAATGAGGCCTCACAACACCCTTGTGGGGCAGATGCATCTGCAGGCCTGGCATAACCCATGTGCATTCTGTGCAATTTAATTGATCTCGGGGGTGGGTAGGCGATCACTGAAGGAACTCTCCCAACTCACACATGCACAATAACATCCCAGGACCAGGAAAGT